ATTTCACCATCCGGTACGGTCGTACCGATCCGTACCGGTTGAAACCCACCCCTGGTTCTCACTGTCAGAAAGTTCCTCCTTATTTCCAGGTTGAACCTCTCCTTGGTCAGTTTCCACCCATTATTCCTTGTCTGGTCTTCGAGTGCTTTGGAAATTAGCTTGACCCCCCTCCTCTCTGTGGCAGCACTTCAAATATTGGAATACTGCTATCATGGTCCTTATCTTTACCAGACTAGACATACCCAGTTCCTGCAACCGTTCTTCATATGTTTTAGTCTCCAGTCCCCTAATCATCTTTGATGCTCTTCTCTGCACTCTTTCTAGAGTCTCAACATCATTTTTACATCATGCCAACCAAAACTAGACGCAGTATTTCAAGTGGACCTTACCAGGGCATTATGAAGTGGTATTAAGTGGCAGTCCTCAACTTACAACAATTGATGCCAAAATTTCCATTTCTAATTAGGACGGCCACTAAGTGAGTTGTTCTCCATTTAATGATTTTTCTTGTCACAGTTGTTAAGTGAATCACTGCAGTCGTTACGTTAGTAATACAGTTGTAAAATGAGTCTGGCTGAACCACTACTTTCCTTGTCAGAAGGTTCAAAAAGGAGATTACATGATCCTGGGATACTGCAACCATCATAAATAGGAGCCAGTTGCCAAGCACCTGAATTTTGATCACGTGACCCTGGGAACACTATAATGGTTGTAAGTGTGAAAAATGATAAAGTCACTTCCCCCCCCCCCGTGCTGTTATAGCTATGAACAGTCACTAAACAAAAGGTTGTAAGTCAAGGACTCGACCCTGGGAAATCTGTAGGAAGGGACACTTCGAATAATCTCAATGATGAAGAATTTTTAGTAATTATAAGAAAAAGCTTATTGCTATTATTATTGAAATTAATAAAAATTTAAAAATTCAGCAGCATTGCTTCTCATGCTGTCACCTTTTTGAATAAATACAGGTAGTCCTCGACTTACAACTACAACTACTACGACTTACAAAAGTTATGTTGCTACGCGAGACATTTGTCAAGTGTGTTTTGCCCCATTTATGACCTTTCTTGCCACGGCCATTAAGTGACTCCCCGCAAGGGTTAACTTAGTCATATGTTTCTTAGGAGAATCTGGACTTTGCTTAGTCAGAAGGTCACAAAAGGGGATTGTGTGATCCCAGGGCACTGCAACCGTCATAAAAATGAGCCAAGCGGCCAAATATTGATCATGTAACCAATGGGGATGCTGCAATGAAGAATGAATAGCAATAGCACTTAGACTTATATACCGCTTCACGGTGCTGTTACAGCCCTCTCCTCTCTAAGCAGTTTACAGAGTCAGCCTATTGCCCCCAACAATCTGGGCCCTCATTTTACCCACCTCGGAAAGATGGAAGGCTGAGTCAACCTTCATAATGATAATAAGTCATTTTTTTCAATGCTGTTGTAACTTTGGATGGTCACTAAATGAACTGTTATTAAGTCCAGGATTAGCTGCAAAATAATTTTTGTCTCACCTGCATTTCTGCCAGCTTCTTTTCCTCCGCCTGGCTCAGGAGGAAACCTTCTGCCAGGGCCACAGCTTGGGAGCTGGTCTCTGCTCCACACTCTCGCACCCAGCTCTCCATCTTTGGGGGCAGGACGGCCAGGAACTGCTCCAAGACCACCAAGTCCAACATCTGAGCTTTCGTGTGTTTCTCTGGCTTCAGCCATTGACGATAAAGACTGTGTAAGCGAGTGCAAAGTTCTCGGGGTGCCTCGCCTTCTTCGTAGAAGAACTCCCGGCAAAGTTGATGATCTCCAGCCCATCTTCTGGTTCCTCCTTCCAGGACACTTTCCTCCTTCCTCGTTCTTCTCCAGAACTTCTCAGTAGACCTAAGCAAGGCAACACGGGATCCATTTCCTTCTGGGAATTGTGAGTCAGTTTTTGGGGTGTACCAAGACACTGGGTCACACCCATCCAAAGTCTGTCCTGGATTTGCAAAAGGACTTTCGGTCAGAGGAGCAGAATAGTAAGAAGAGCCACTGAAATGAGCCATTTCAGGAGATGTGGAATTTTAATCCTCAAACAATAAGAATCCTCCCACAGAGAGGTGGGGGGGATGCTTTCAGTTTTCAAGCTAAGAGAAAGGAACAGAAGGAAAGAAAAATGAGAAAAAAGAGAGCTGCTTTTGTAGATGTTGATAGGATATTCTTATCCAAGAAACATTTAAGGGAAGACAGAGAAGACAGTGCTCTTAAACACACACACACACAATTTCTTTTCAAAAAGGAAGTACATGTAGGACTTGATATAGCACCACAATTGAGACCAATATTTATGTTGCTAATTAAGGCAGTTGTTGAGTGACTTTTGGCCTGTTTTATGACCTTTCTTGTAAAATTCCTAGATTTTCAAAGCTAGAGATACCTCCAATGCTTGGCACTCAGCTCGGGTCCAGTATGGGGCCCCCAAAATGCTCTGGCCTTTTCTCCAGCACCTCCAACCACAAAACCCTCTAGTCTTTCCTACAGCAGCCCCATCCCCCAAATGCTGTGGCTTTTTCTCCAGCACCTTCTCCCAAAACGGATAGTTCATATAGGAAAAACCATTGCAAGACACTTCGGTGGACAGGCTCCCCAGCAACCAGCCAGGACCCCTACCAAGGGTGGGAAAGGGGGCCGTGGGGTGGGGTGGGGGTGGAGGATAGAGGTGAAGCAGTCCCAGGCTGTCTCGGGGGTTGAATGCTTCCTTCCAGGGAGGCCAGCGAGAAAAGGCTTTGGAAACGCCGCGAGGTGTCTGCAAATAGAGACCCGCCTGGGAATTGCAAGGCAAAAGCAACGCTGAGCTGAACCAGACGGAGCTCTGCCTGACTTTCCTCGTTCCCTTCCCTTCCCCCAACCTTTCACAGCTTTTTTTTGGGGGGGGGAGAGAAGCATCCACAACGGAGCTCTACCTGACTTTCCTCACTCCCT